CAGCAGGAAGTTTCCATGTAAACGTTCCTGTGGCATACACAAGGCTGTATGTAGATGACGCATTGCATTCTCCTTTTGGAAGGGAAGCCCAGGTGAATAGCTCACTTATTTTTGCCTAAACCAACCTCCACGACGTCGTTGTACTGCATTGATGATTATCGAGTCTGACTTCTCTTGATCAGCTGTACCCTAGCTGCAGCTGTGCTCTCCTTCATTTACTGCTTATAAAGAAGATCTTCAATTTCTTCCTACAGTTGGCTAGTGAGGGAAGTATCTTTAGAGAATTGTGGGTGAATCATCTCTTCATTACTGTGGCTGCAAGTAGGATCTGCATAAAATCCAGACAAATCCTGATCTTTGAAAGATCAGCATCCTTCGAATTGTATACTTTTTCTCTTACAGTGTAAGTCTGTGTATGTTTGAATAACCTTTTGTACTGAATCTGGGTGATGTAGCCTGCTGCATATTCCCAGGCTTCATCTCTTTCCTTCCCTGTGTCCAGAGAGGATGGGAAATATGGTGACTCAAAACTGTCTCTCAGGGGAGCAGACCTGGATCTTCTCTGTGGTTCTTTATGTTGTTTTTGTTTTTTTTTCTGGAAAAGGAAGGGAGCACTCTTGTGTGTTGCTGGGGAAATATGAATGGCGAGAAGAAAATGAACAGATCCTTGGGGATTTTCAGTCTGTCTAAGGCTTTTCACTGGAGTCTTCTGTATTTGATGACATAAATTAAACTTGGCCATTTGTCTTCTGCACTTATTCTGCTATTAACTCCTCATTTCCCTGTGTGGATAAGAGTCTCCTGTGGCAGGAAACCTTCTCTCTCTACTTTATTGCACAGTTTACTGGTAGTGAGGCAAAACAATTGAGCAGATTTGGGAGTCTGGCAGGGGCATGCTGTCAGGCATCTGTTGAGAATGGAGTAGGAGATGTGGCCAGGAGGAGATGGCTGCCAAAGGTGGAGTGGCCAAGGGAATGACACTGAAAAGGCTACAGCTTCTCCCCAGCTCCAAAAGTAAACCTCAGAGAGCCTGGAGCTGGCTTCTGAGAGGTGCGGAGCTTGTCCTTGTGCTTCTCAGCAGGACCCTCCTGGCAGCTCTGGCTCCATCTGCCCTGCTGGGACAGGAGAGGGAGCCAAGCAGAGTGGGCAGAGGGGAGCACTGACCCACCAAACTCCTCTGCTGCTCCCCCAACTCATGCTGTGGTGTTCCCTTGACAAGCACTGTACTCTGCCCGTCAGGGAAAACCCATCCTTCAAGAACTGCTCTAGAACTATTGTCACTTGAAATAAAATACCACTTTAAAAATTCTCCACAAAGTGTTTGTTTTGTGTCAAACCGAGCCCTTGAACACAAGATTACATGTACATTATGCTTTATAAAAATGTCTACTTGACTGCAACCGTGTTACTTCAAATAACATCGGCATTTCTTGGCATTAGGAAAATAATACTCTATTGGATTGTTTAGCATGCGTTTTCATCTGCTTCCACTTTCTTTCGTCTTTTCCATTTTCACTCATCTTTGTCTCAAAACTCTCCTATTTTACCTTCATTTGGTCTGTGTGTGTTTTCCTTTTTCTCTTTCCCACATTTCAGACAGCCATCCAGTATTACATTGATAACTCGTCTGATTTTGAACCATGGGGAAGTCCACTGGATGGCATAAGCCCAGAAGTCAGGAATCTTTGTTGTTTGGTTTTGCATTTGTTTCTCCTCCCGTTCCCTGCCACTGCCTTTGCTAGTGACTTCCTTTTTGTGTCTTGGTGTCCCTGTTCAGCTAGCAATGAGGCTATTTTTTTATCTACATAAAATACATTGAGATTGGGGCTGGGAGGCAGGGGGAAACACTTCACAAGTGCCAACGATTTCTTTTTTTTTTTCTTTTTTTTTCTTCTTTTTTTTTGAGATGATAATTTTCTTGCCCAGCTTTTTATACTTTCTCAATAACAGCGTTTATGTAAGCCATGGAGAAATGAATGATCACATAAAAGGCAATTGATTATGGTGGTGCTAGACTGAGCCCTGTGTTGCCTGTGTTCTCGTCAGTGTGCTTTTGACCAGTACACCTGTGTTCACTTGGAAATTATACCTGAAATTTTAACATCTGATGAGGCATCCTTATCTCGGTTGGTTGGTTTGTACTCTTAATACAAGCAACCCTTTTCCTAGTATAATTTGTCATAAGCATTCTGACTAAGTTTGAAATTGGTGATCATTTGTTACTGCCTGGCAGCAATCTATTTTCTGGACAAATAAATTCTTCCTTTCATTCCTTTCTCTGAGGAAGAATTATATATGCTGTCTAGGTTTTTGTTTGGGTGCTGAGGGGATGTTTTCTTCTTTAGACTTATGTATTGCTATATGGGAGAAGGCAAGATTTAAAAAGTGCTTCTTGAATTTTGAGCAGAAGGCGTGAAATTTGCAATTATTTTGAGTTCCTATGAAAGTTCATTTACAGCCTTGGACTGTGAAATCTCTATTACCTGATAAAGAAGTCTCACCTGTTACTAGAAAGGTCATTTATGAAATCAGGTCACAGCCCACCAGGATGGATTAGGGTTCCTGTGCCTATTAAAAACAGTCAGAAGCAGGAAGTAAAAATCTAATGCAAGTATCTGCTAAAAGCACTAAATCTTTCCTCAAAAATCAAGGGAGGAATTCCTGAAGATTTTATTACTTTGTATTCCGTTCTCCTCCTATGAGGTCTCAAGCCTAAAGCAATTGTGGTTTTCCTTCTGTTGTAAAATCTGGATGGATGCTGTTGGTTTGCTCAGTCACTGCATTTCTGACCTAGTAAGAAAGGTCATTTTTTTGCTAGCTTTAAAGCTGTGTATTTCTCATGAATGGAATGCTGTTTTTCTAAATTAATGTTTATTTAAATATAGGTCTGTTAGCCAAAGACTAGCATTCAGAGATTTCAGAATTCTTACAGAGAAACTAAATATAATGCTTATTTTACATTTGGAAATGTGAAGAGTTAGCGATAGTGTCACAGTCTACTGGTATGTAAAGTTGCTTTGTCTTGCAGCTGTTGCCTAACAATGACTATAGCATGTATCTTTATAAAAGTGTACAGTTTGGACTATAATTTTGAAATTCTGGATGACTAAAGTTTTAAAAACTATATTGGAAGTATGAACTATAGCATTTCTGACTTTTAAAGACGTTTTTTGGGGGTGGTTGTTTTAGCAAATATAAAAATAAAGATTTGAAATGTAGCCAACAAAGGAAAAGTGAGAGATTTAGGCTTTGTTTCTTTTTTTTTAATAAGAACTGAATGAAAACTGTTTCTGTTAAACTCAACTTATTCTTCCCTCCATTTGTTTATTTATTTCTTTCAGGAATTTGAAGCCTTTCAAACATTTGTGGAAAACCGACTTCCATTTGATATTGTTATTGATGGACTCAATGTTTCCCACATAAAACCCAGAAAGATGCAGTGTGAAAATGTAAGTGCTGCTTAAATATTCATTAAGAGTTTTGTGTATGCTTATGCTGAATGTAAAACAATTAGTGCCTCTTATTACTTGTCCTCTTGAGAAACTGATCAAACATTTTTTGTAGCACGTTACAATGAAGTTCAAAGCATTATTTAGACTTCACAAACTAAAAATGATCAGTGGGAAGATGGTTCTTCTTACATATTTGTCTGTATTAGCCATAAAAAAATCCCGTGTATGCAATGCTCATAGTTACAGCTAAGTTATTGATAATAACAATATGTTGTGTGAATGTGTATGTTTTCATAATAGTAGGGATTTTGGGGAGCAGAGTAAATCTACCATGTAGAAAATTTAGTCTAGTATGGTTATGCTGGTAAGGGTTCTTCTTAAAAGAATCTCTTAGTTAGTTCAAACCACATCCTGTACAAGTTTAAACTTTATTTCGCTTCCTATTGCCTTAAGCATTTGAGTCCTGTTCTTACAAGGGCAGCTCAAACTGGCTTCAGTTCTTTCCACTTGGTAATTTTTAGAATAAACCTGCTTTTTTACTGATACCTATTTTTGAGAATTCTTGCCACTCCCCTTTAGCATTTCACTAAGAAATGGCTTAAGGTGTTTTGGGGGGGGGTTGTCAATCAAATATTTACTTTAAATTAGGAATAACGAAGTAGCTGCTCACATGTATTGCAAAGCCAGAATTTAAATTTCATGCTCTTGAAATTAAAACTAACTTATAAAGGACTGTGATAGTAAAGGAAGTAATTTACTTCTAGTAATTGCAAGAAATACATTTTTGTTCTAAGAACTACTTTAAAACCATTCTTAAGAAGCAGGATATGCTTTCATATATGTAGATAAAAGCAGCTGAGGTAGGGAGGTTAGATAAACTTGCTGAAAGATGTTTGTTTGAGAGCTGCAGTGAAGTTTCATGAGATACTGGCTCATGAAGAGGGTACTTTCCTTACTACGAAAACAGAAAAGGAAGTTTACAAGTTGTTTGGATGGGATCAGGGAGGAAGTGTTGATTATCTGAGCAGAATCCCAGGCACCATGTAGTGGCACAATGTTTCAAGACTCAAAAAGACAGATCTATGCTGCCAAAGAAGGGGAAGAGAAACGAACCTCCTTCCTCAATGCATGCCTGTCCCAGTGTGGGAACTCTGAACAGGATCCTGAATGTTTTGTAAAAGCTGGAAGCAATGGAGAAAAGAGCCACCCTGGTTTTGCAGGATAATTACTAATGATTTCTGATCAGAAATCTTACTAGAAGGTATTAGAATTCTGAGCAGCATAAACTGCCTTTGAGTTCCTCCTTAGCTTCTACTGTGTTGGAAGGACTTTGGGATCCATGATGCCAGGGAGCTCCAGAAGGACTGTATGGAGGCATCAACTTTCCATTTATGTTGTTCCATATAGATACAGGTCAGATCTCTCTTGAATCCCAGGTATTTACAGATGAGGAGGATTTTTAGGAAGGTCTGCCTTTCCTTCCTGCACAACAGAACAGTAACGTGGGCTCACCCCATCTTACCTCCAGAAAAAGATTCTATTAGCTAAATTTTTCTTGTTCTACGAGCTATGTTGCTGTTAATTATAATTGCATTTTGTCATGCACAAAAAATGTTGATCATTGAAGCTTCTGCCAGCTAGTCTTTTGTTGCTCCTGTTATCTGGATCCTGGTTTTGAGAGTGTGGAGTTGTTACAGGAGATAGGACAGACATGCCCGTTACTCCTGCCTTATACCTGTAGATATTCACTGGCTGGGTAGTACCTTTTTTGGCATGGAAAGTGTGTATTTGCACTCTAAGCAACAAAATAGCCCAAAAGAAATACCCTTCTAGACATATTTCTCTATTCATTGAGATACTTTAAAATTATTTTTATGATAGATGTATTTATAGAATTATAGATCATAGAATTAACTATTGAGTTGATGGGTTTTTTCAACTAGAAACATTGTTTAAATGTGGGATCATGCTGGATGCTAGCGAATCTTGTTTTAATTCTTCATGGCTCTGAACTCCTGTGTTGTAACATGCCAGGAAGGGACTGTGTCTTTGTTCTTATTTTGGATACTTCTGACAAGCAGCATGTATTCTTGTTTTCCCACTCCTTTTTTTTTTTTTTCCCAAGACTGCTAAAAACAGAAAAAAAAAAACCCCAAACAAACCCACAAAGCAGAGCAATCCTTTCTTCTGTCTTCAAACTTTTGTTCCAGATGAGGGAATAGAAGGCCACAGGAATCTCTGCATGTGTTGCTTTCCTGGTTACTGGTGTTGCTGCCAAGTAGTCCCCCATCTGTGAATGCTGACCTCCCCGAACACTGTAGTCAGTCCTTTGAGAGCTGACTTTGCCACAAAACATCCTCTTTTGGAGGCTTCTATCCTCACACCAGAGGCAGCTGAATGGAAAATGTGGAGTGGTGGGTCTGGGGCATTCACAGCCTGCCTTATTAAACTCTTCGGTGTTCATAGGGAGATATAGTGCAGAACTGAGAGGATGGAGAGGAGAAATAAATGCAACAGAAGTTGGCAGCAGAGCATGAAGGATGGAAAAAAGCTAAGAGTGAGGGCGCCTAGGTTAAGGTGGCTGGCTACGACAGCATGACTGGCCCATTTTGAAAAGGAGCATGCTGTGACTCGTTAGTGACCTCTTGTGTTCGACTTGAGAGATAATAATAAAGGAGCAGTATTTCCAAAGACCTGTGTTAAAAGCTGCCCACCCTATGGTTTACTTGTCAAAAAGCTACGTTATTTTAAGTCTCCAGATGGGAGTCAGTCTGTGCTCTTTTCAAGGGTTCATTACTGCAGCTGTTAGATACAGAAAGGATATTGTTTTATAAACTTTTCTGTTTCAGTGTGTAGTTAGAATGCAGCAATGGTTGAAGAGACAATGAGATTGTTGCTTTCCGTTTATAACACACTGTAAGCGTTATGTGCAAATTATTAGGTTTTTTGGACCATATCTCTTATGTGCTTTGAGAGAATAGCAAAAAAAAGGGCATCGTTAAACACAGAAGACCTAAGATTTATGTGACAATAATGTGATAATTTAAATGCATTCTGGTCTTTGTTTAAATGTAACAAAAAATACTGTTCCACTTTGTGATTTAGCTTTAAGAACTGTAACTGTTTAGCTGAAGACCAACTCTAGTTAACTCTTAGTCATATGATTAAAATAAGAAAACATTTATAAAATATTCCTTTCTTTTTTCAAACATCCTAACATTTGTAATTCCATTTAGGCATTCCTTAGGCATCTTGGGAAGGGGCTGGGTTGTGTGGACAAGGCATGAGTACCTGGAGGGATCAGAAGAGAAGGAAAAAAAAAAAAGTTGAAGGAATGATTTTTACTCATTTAATCCCCAAAGTGTTCTGACATTCTGGAAAACTAGATATGTGACTTCCAGTAGCCCTAGGCAACTTCAGTCCTCACAGCCAGCACTCACTTAGCAGATCATCATGAATATTATTGACTTGGCAGATTTACAGGAATAATCTGCGGCAATTTCTCTAGTATATGACCCTGTTGGTTTGTAATTACAATTCCCTTTTTTTCCAGGATGGTTTTATACTAGGTCTGTTTCCTGGTACAAATCACCATGAGGCTGCATCAATTACTGACAAAAAGAGGAGGTAGCACAAGGGTGTGAAAAAAGATTTTTGAGGGCTAGGGAGTGGTGAGATCATCTGTTTTCATAGAATCATAGAATGGTTTGGGTTTGAAGGGACCTCAAAGATCATCTAGTTCCAACCCCCCTGCCATGGACAGGGACACCCTCCACTAGACCACGTTGCCCAAAGCTCCATCCAACCTGGCCTTGAACCCTTCCAGGGATGGGGCATCCACAGCTTCTCTGGGCAACCTGTTCCAGTGCCTCACCACCCTCATAGGGAAGAATTTCTTCTAAATATCTAGTCTAAATCTACTCAACTTAAAGCCATTACCCCTTGTCCTATCACTACATGCCCTTGCAAACAGTCCCTTTCCAGCTTTCTTGTAGGTCCCCTTTAGGTACTGAAAGGCTGCAATTAGGTCTCTCTGGAGCCTTCCCTTTTCCAGGCTGAACAACCCCAACTCTCTCAGCCTGTCCTCATAGGAGAGGTGCTCCAGCCTCTCTGATCATGTTAATTTTGAAGGCACCGCACACAAAATGACTGTAAAACTGCAATGCTGAATATTAGCCAGCATCTCTTTTCAACCCTTTGCTTCCTTACTGCAGCATTTTAAATTAGACATTAAAGTTGACTCATAATTAAAGATATTATAGAATGGAAATTATTTTTGCTATATTATCCAGACAATAGAAACAAACTCCTGTAAAGTCTGAAATCATTCAGTCTTGTGTTTTTTCCAGTTTTTTGTGCCTTCTGCTGCTGCTTAAGACTGTACCTGATGTGTATTTGCCTTGATGAGTCAGTTACTGTTTGTACTGCAAACATGGTAGTTTATAAACTGAGATATCCTTGCAGTTTAACTAAGCAAAGCTGATTCAGGCTGTAGCATGACGTTGAGTTAATCCTTTCCTCCAGATGTATCTAATTACATAAATCCTTAGCCAGCACAATGACATTTGGTACTCTCTGTCCTCTGCTGCCGTAACTCCCCATAGTGCCCCCACCTTTCACCTTGTAAAGGTCAAGAGAGGGAATTTCCACATGCTAATTGTCTGGTTCTCTTATTAAACACAAGCTGTTACATAATTCTTAAATGTATTTTTTCCTGTTTATCACAATTTTCTGTGGAAGTATTCCTTGGAAGTGAGGGGGAATCCAAGTGCAAGCAGGATATCTAGGCTCTGGAGCATCTCACTTTGCATGTGGGAGAGGAGTGAAGGAACTACAATGAGTTGTGCTCCAGCTACCCCTAGACTGTGAAGGGCCAGGGTGGGGGCAAGAGGGAGCACAACCAGCAAGCACAATTTAAAGAGTATTTCACTATTTTTAATTTACATTGAGATTGGTGTATTTTAAATGAGGTATGCAGCTAGCTTCTTTTTTAACTG